AGGGACCTTTCAGTTTCCTATCCTCTACCTCCATCCAACCTCACTTCCTTTCTTCCTCAAACACCCTGAAGTAACTCCTCTCCTCCTGAACCTCCTCCGCTCATTTCGATGTTAAAAATCCATTTATTGAGCCACAAACACCAAAGACACCAAAGACATGAGCGTTATACTAATATTTTCATAATACATCTGAAAGTTATTGTCCCAGATTAGAATTATTATGCATCATACACCTATCTGTTTTCTACTAAATTGCAAATGCTTAAATTTATTGTAGATACAGTTTACTTGGTAGAAATTTCAAGTTGATTTAAATTGATTTGATTACTTAAACATAATCTGCCTTCACTCATAACTTACAGTATATTTCATTTAAAGCTTTAAGGAGACAATCTGACTCAAACTACTAAACTAAACTACAAAACAACTGCCAACATGATATGGTCTAAAGAAAGATGGAGGACTACCTTTAAATTCCTCAGCAAATGTTAAACTAAGACACATCTATGTTTTCTGAGTGGAAATTTATTACAAGCCAAGGTTTCAATAGTTTTACTATTTTATTGTTGTTGTTGTTTTTTTTTTTTTTTAATAAAGTTTGATTTTTTTAATTCCAGTTTAGTTTTGCTTAGTTTTTTTTTAGTATTTTTTTTTTGGCTAAAAAGGAAACTTGAGCTTAAGGTTTAGTTTTTCTTCATTCCACTTATAGTTTTAATCTTTTATGTTGTACCGCTTGCATACCGACAACATAAGAGACTTATGATAAAATAAAATAAATAATATGACAGATAAGGACTGACCGCTGCAGCAATTCAATTGACCTGGATGCCGTTACCGCTATCTGCTGGCAAAATAACGTACAGTGAAAATCAGCAACTGGAAACTAAACCACATATTAATGCATTAAGCTAAGCACAATCTCTCTTAAAATTCAACTTTTATTAGTTTTGTAAAGTCCTTTTACAGTTTTAGTAAGTTTTCAAGGTCTAGATTTGATTCTGATTAGAATGTTTTTGAATTCTAGTTTATGTTTACATCATTAGTTTTAGTTAACGATAATAACCTTATCACAAACACNAAATGTTTAAATTTATTGTAGATACAGTTTACTTGGTAGAAATTTCAAGTTGATTTAAATTGATTTGATTCCTTAAACATAATCTGCCTTCAGTCATAACTTAACTATGTCATTTAAAGCTTTAAGGAGACAATCTGACTCAAACTTCTCCTGCAGACTAATTAAAATTGGTTGGGTTGTTTAAAACAGATCAGAAACTACTAAAGCTTAAAACTATAACTACAAGAAAGATCGGAGTCCTGTCTACAAAGTAGAGAAGTTCAGATAAACAGTGTTGGGTGCTGACCATAACGTCATGTTATGGTTTAAAGAAAGATGGAGGACTACCTTCAAATTCCTCAGCAAATTTTAAACTAAGACACATCTATGCTTTCTGAGTGGAAATTTATTACAAGCCAAGGTTTTAATAGTTTTACTATTTAATAGTTTTTATTTTTATTTTTTATTAATGTCTGATTTTTTATTCCACTTTAGTTTTACTTTGTTTTTTTTAGTATTTTTTTTTTAGCTAAAAAAGAAAATTGAGCTTAAGGTTTAGTTTTTCTTCATTCCACTTATAGTTTTAATCTTTCATGTTGTACAGCTTGCATACCGACAACAGGTGAAACCTATAATAAAATAAAATAAATAATATGGCAGATGACTGACCGCTGTGGCAATTCAATTGACCTGACTGCTGCTACCGCTATCTGCTGGCGAAATAACGTACAGTGAAAATCAGAAACTGGAAACTAAACCACATATTAATGCATTAAACTAAGCACATGCTCTCTTAAATTCAACTTTTATTAGTTTTGTAAAGTCCTTTTACAGTTTTAGTAAGTTTTCAAGGTCTAGATTTGATTCTGATTAGAATTAACAAAAATTATTTAGAATTCTAGTTTATGTTACATCATTAGTTTTAGTTAACGATAATAATCTTATCAAAAACACTCACTTAAAGTGGCCTAAAATGAATGAAGTAGACTAGAGTTAATGATTAACTCCACTCAGTCATTATGGACTCTGTTTAAAAGCAACCTCAGGACAAGAGCTCTGACTTTAAAATAGCCAAATACTAAATTAAAATCATTTTTATACAAGGAAGTTTATTTATTCTATAATTTCTATATTATTTAAACCTATACGTTTAGTTTTACTCAGAAGGATTTAGAAACAAATCTGCAATAAGTTTGAATGTTTTATTTCGTTTTTTCTCTTTTTTTTCTACAGAAGAGAAAAACAAAACAGCTCAATCATTTCTGTAATTTATGCCAATGAAGATTTTGACATCCAAAATCAAGACC